GTTTATGAAGGTTTGAGAAGGTCTGGGAAGGTATGAGATGGTTTTGGGAAGGTTTGGGAAGGTCTTGGAAGGGTTGGGAAGGGTTGGGAAGGTTTGGGAACAATTTTGAAAGTCTGATTAACTACTGATTAATGCTAAATTCATTAAATAACTTCAAACGTGTTATTTTTAGGTATAAATAATGATCCATTGATTATTCCTGCTGACCGGACTTTTCTTTAAACATCTGATTTACTGATGAACAGCCTTTTGTTCTTCTCAACAAATGTGAAGCTGTATCCTGAACCTTCTAAAGATCCAACACCGCAGAAGCTAATTCCTTTTCACTGGTGTGAGGATTTTGATCAGCAGTATTGGTTCATTCTTGTATCGTTCGTGTTTCTAGAGGGTATTTACGTTTGGTGTGGAATGGTTGTGGTTTTGAACTGCAGGGTGTCCAGTTCCTGGACGCTTCCGCGGCTCACAGACACCGTGGAGTTCGCCAGTCGCATGGCGGCTCTCCTCCGGACCCGGCGGGGGCAGCATCCTGTGGAGTTGTTTTGCGCCCCCTGTTGGCTGGAGAGGGAGGTGCTGCGGCTGGTCCTGAAGCCCACCGACTCGGTCATACAGAGCTCGCTGTAGTTCATCTCGTCGGTGAACTCGTGGTTCTGTGAGGAAGGATGGAGAAAAAAAAACAGACATTAATCCTCCGTTATGGTTGATGGCCTCTGCTGGTAAAGTCCTGGGAATCCAGAGTGCTTCGCACTACATTCACACATTCTGGATATCTGACTGCAAACGGCAAGAGGTCAGGGCCAAGGACAACGCCCCCCCCAATATATACATTTAACATGTTTACATGTGAGGGATTGCTGAAGAGTCAATGAGTCGATGCAATCAGCTGGTTTTCCTTAGATAGAAAACTTTGAATCAATCTGATTGGATGATCTGGTGAACTGGAAAGTGACCTGAGATGACATGATGTGAATTGGAGCTATAGAAATAAACTGAATAGAATTGGAATTCAACAAAATATAAAAAATAAAATCCCACTTTCTTCTTTACATTGAATGTTTGTTTAACGTTTAGTGGCAAAATGTTTAATTTTAATCTAAAAATTTCAATTTGTATATTCAATCTATTTCTACAGCCTATCGCTACATATAAAAGCTGTATATCTTCATTTTCTATTGAAATGTATATCTTCTCTTTCAATCTTAATTGTAAATATAAATCTTAATCCAAAATCTATATCTTATATCTAAATTAAGATCTAATCGTAAATCTTAATTTCAAATGTTACATTTAAAAGTGAAGCCTAAATATGAATATAATTTTAAATCAAAATTTTGGATTTAAATATATATCTTAAAAGTCTTACCTCTATCTTAAATATAAATTTTTAATATAAATATATATCTACGATCTTAAGTCTAAGTGGGGACGTTAAAGGGGTGTGGTTAAACTTAAAATCTATTTGTTTAATCCAAACATTAAATCTAAATCCAAATATAGCAGTGAAACGAAATTTTAATTTAAATATATATACCTTTAGATATTAATCTGTTTTTTAATATGATACTTAAGTCTAAATATGTCTTAAATCTTCATTTTAAATCAAAATCTATATCCTAAATCTTATATCTAAAACTAATTCTACATGTAAATCTTTATTTTTTTCAAATCTAAAAAAATATGTGTTTTTTTCTTTTTTTTATATTGAAATAATTAATGTTTTACCATATTACAATTTAACATATTTTTATAAAAAAATAAAAAATAAGATAAAAAAATCTAAAAATAAATATATTTAATTAAAATGGTGAATCTAAATCTTTTGTATGTAGCCACGCCCCCAAAATAAGAACACCAATGAGAAAGGGAGGTGGGCGTCAACCTTCAGAACATGCCACCTCTGCTTATCAGTTTTCCGGGCGATCACTGCACGATGTTTTTCCCTTTTCGCACCGATTCTCCAGTCGTGCGAAAATGTTTGGATGGGGACGACTTTCAGACTGATGGTGCGTGGTGTAGTGTACGGGGGTAACGAGGGATGATTAGCCTCTAACGACCACCTCCCCATCAGGAATCAGAAGGTCGGGAGAAAATCAAACATGTTTGAAATTCAGTCGGCCGTTGTAAGGCGTTTGTGGGCAAATCGCTCAGTGGGCAAACAAGGATTCTTCTTCTTCTTCTTCCTCTCAGATGTAAACCCAGCAGCATGGTTGGGGTGCAACGATTGAAAATAAATCGTACCGTGTATGCCTGGCGTAAGCGCTAGTAGAAATGTTAAAGGGACGTGGTCGATTAGCAAAACTTCTAAAGATTTAAATGTGAGATTTCATTAAAGATTTAAATAGAAAGATTTGCATATTAATATATAGATTAGATATATAGATATTAGATGTGTGATGTAGTTAGATGTAACATTTAGCTATTTATCTTAATTTTAGAAAACAGAATGAAATGTGAAAAAGTATGAGAAATTGAACAGTTCAAACCAACAACTCTCCAGGTATCCGATGAACCCCCCCAGGGAAACTGGGGGGGAAAACTGTATCTGTGGACATCTGCAGCAGCCACTCTGTATCTACAGAGTGGCTGCAGATGTCCCATCCTCACCGTGGTCTTCTCCAGACAGTGCAGCAGGTGGTGGTGCTGATGTTCAAACGCCGATCTGTTCTTCACACACAGGGCCGTGCTGTCGCTGTCTCTGTCCTGAAAAACAGAACAATTCTCAGTGAAATCCAGGAAGTATGATTCATTAGTTACTGGAGTCCTTTGATTTGGTTTAATTTCACAGAAAGAGGCTCAGCCTTAGGAGACACGGTGTAAACTAGAAGGTTGGGGTAGCAGCTTATGTCCTCATCAGGTGAAGTCATTGTACCTGCAGGCTTCCAACCCACTGAGCCGATGCATTAAAGAGAAAAACACTCCTGATGTTTGCTGCTAGTGTTAATGTTTATTTTATGGATAAGTCTGCTTGCTGGACTTTTTTTTGCTGATTTCTGAAGTAAAGTCGTTCGGTATGAAGAGGAAAGCTGATCCTGAAGGAATCAAAGATCAGAATATCACATTGGAGCTACACTGGAAAATCAATCTAAACAGAAGTAAAAATGTCTTAAATGAAGTGTATTTGCCCTTATTTTGAGTAGGTAAGTGAGACAGTTTGCCAATGGAATGAGTTTTTTTTCCCCAGTGGTGCATTTTCATGTTCTACTCACACGTATGAGTTTAGTGTCATTTGGAGCCGTTCTGAAGATATTCCGTTATATATGGGCAACGACTTGAAGGCACAAACTAAACTGTTCATTATTTATTCTTTATGGTATGCCAGCATTCAGAACAATTTTTTATATTTATATTTTTTTTAAACAAAGCGAAGTGTGTATGACGTCATCGTGCAAAGCTAACAATGTGTAAAGCTAACATTGTGCAAAGCTAACGGTGTGTAGGGCTATTGGCATGTAAAGCTAACCATGCACAAAGCTAACCGTGCACAAAGCAAACATTGCCTAAAGCTAATGGTGGCTAAGGCTAACATTGTGTAAAGCTAACAGTACGTAAAGCTAACATTGTGCAAAGCTAACAATTTGTAAAGATTACATTGTGTAAAGCTAACATTGTGCAAAGCTAACATTGTGCAAAGCTAACAGTGCATAAGGCTAATGGTGCAAAAGCTAACATTGTGTAAAGCTAACGGTGAGTAAAGCTCACATTGTATAAAGCTTAACGCGCACAAGGCTAACAGTCTGTAAAGCTACCAGCGCTTAAAGCTAACTTTGTGTAAAGCTAACATCGTGTAGGAAAGCTAACATCGTGTAAAGCTAACGGTGCGTAAAGCTAACATTCTCTAAAGCTAACAGTGCGTAAAGCTAACATTGTGTAAGACTAACGATATGTAAAGCTAACATAGTGTTAAAAGCACAAAAAGCTAACATTGTCTAAAGCTAACAGTGCGTAAAGCTAACATTGTGTAAGACTAACAATATGTAAAGCTAACATTGTGTTAACAGCGCAGAAAGCTAACATTGTCAA